ATCCTCCTGTTTTTTTGCTTGAGGAAGATTAGCCCTGAGCTAACATCCATGCTAATCTTCCTCCATTTTGTATGTGGGTCACCACCACAGCATCGTTGATGAGTGGTGTAGGTCCACCCCAGAATCTGAACCCACAAACCCGGGCCCTTGAAGTGGAGCATGCAGAATTCAACCACTACATAATGAGGTGGACCCCCTATTGAGTGTTTTTTTAAATCATGTATGGTTATTGAATTTTTTCAGATGCTTTTTCTGCATGAATTGAGATGGTCATGTGTTTTTTTTTTCCTTCATGCTGTTAATGTGGTGTCTCACATTAATTGATTTTCGTTTATCAAATCATCCTTGCATTCCAGGAATAAATCCTACTTGGTTGTGGTGTTTAATCATTTTAGTGAACTCTTGACTTCTGTTTGCTAGCATATTGTTGAGGAGGTTTGCATCTATATTCAATAGGGATACTTGCCTGCAGTTTTCTTTTCATGTAGCACCTTTGTCTGACTTTGGTATCAGGGTAATGCTGCCCTCATAGAATACATTTGGAAGTATTCTCTCCCATTCAACTTTTTGGATGAGTTTGAGGAGGATTGGTATTAATTTTTCTTTAAATGTTTGGTAGAATTCTTCAGTGAAGCTATTTGGTCTTGCACTTTTATCTGTTGGAAGGTTTTTATTACTGATTTAATCTCTTTGCTAGTTATTGTTCTTTCAGATTTCCTGTCTATTCATGATTCAGTTGGTAGGTTGTGTATTGCTAAGAATTCATCCATTTTTTCTAGGTAATCCAGTTAGTTGGCGCACAATTGTTCATAATGTTCTCTTATAATCCTTTTTATTCCTGTCATTGGCTGTAATACCCCTTTTTTCATTTTTTATTTAATTATATGAGTCTTTTTCCTTTTTTCTTAGCTAATTTAGCTAAATGTTTTCGATTTTGTTGATCATTTCAAAGGACTGACTCCTGGTTTCATTGATTTTCTTTATTTTTCTGTTTTCTATTTCATTTATCTCTGCTCTAATATTTATTATTTCCTTCTTTCTGCTAGCTTTGGGTAGTTTTTTCTTCTTTTTCTAGTTCCTTGAGGTGTAAACTTAGGTTGTTTATTTGGGATCTTTCTTCCTTTTTAATGTAAGTATTCACAGCTATGAATGTCCCTCTTAGCACTGCTTTCATTGCATTGCATAAGTTTTGGTATGTTGGTTTTCATTTTCATTTGTCTCAAGATATTTTCTAATGTCCATCGTAATTTCTGTTTTGATCCATTGTTTTGTTTGAGAATGTATTTCTCAATTTCCTGTATATTTGTGAATTTTCCAGTGTTTCTGGTGTTATTGATTTCTAGTTTCTTTTCATTGTGATTAGAAAAGTTACTTTGCATGGTATCCATCTTTTAAATTTTATTAAGACTTATTCTGTGGCCAACATGTAGTCTACCCTGAAGAATGTTCCATGTGCACTTGAGAAAAATATGTATTCTGCTGTTGTTAAGTGGAGTTTTCTGTGTATATCTGTAATGTCCAATTGATCTACAGTGTTGTTCAAGTCCTCTGATTTCTTTATTGATCTTCTTTCTGGTTGTTCTTTTCATTATTGAAAGTAGGGTGTGGAAGTCGCCTACAATTGTTGCTTTATTCTCTATTTTTCCATTCAATTTGGTTAGTTTCCTTCATATATATTTAGGAGTTCTCATGTTTGGGGCATATTTATTTATGGTTGTTAAATATTCCTGGATAATTGACCTTTTTATTATTATATAATGTCTTACTTTGTCTCTTGTAACAGTTTTTGACTTAAAGTCTCTTTTGTCTGATATTAGTATGGCTACCTCTGCTCTCTTTTGGTTACCATTTGCATGAAATATCTGTTTCCATCCTTTCACTTTCAATCTATATGTGTCCTTAGATCTAAAGTGAGTTTCTTGTACACAGCATATAGGTGGGTCTTGTTTTTCATACATTCAGCTACTTTGTGTCTTTTTATTTGGAAGTTTAATCCATTTACATTGGTAAGTTGTGTGTTTCTAAGAATTCATACATTTCTACTAGGTTATTCAATTAGTTGGCATACAATTGGACAGGGAGGGACTGACTATTGCCATTTTGTTAATTGTTTTCTGTATATCTTGTATGTTTTTTCCTCCTCATTTTGTCTTACTCTCTTCCTTTGTCTTTCTTTGATTTTTTTTGTAGTGACACGCTTTGATTCCCTTCTCATTTTCTTTTGTGTATTTTATTAGTCTGCTCAGGATGCCATAACTGAACACCATAGACAGGGCCACTTAAAAACCAGAAATTTATTTCTTACAGTTCTGGAGGTAGGAAGTCAAAGATCAAGTTGCTGGTAAGGTAGATTTTATTCTGAGACCTCTTATCTTAGCTCATGGGTATCCACCATGTGCTGTGTGCCCACATAACCTCTTCTTTGTGCACGCATTGGGGAGAGAGAGAAAAGAGAAAGAGAGAGTGAGAGCAAGAGAGAGCTCTCTGGTGTCTGTTCTTATTAGGACACTAATCCTATGAGATCAGGGTCCCACCCTTATGCTGTCATTTAACCTTAATTACTTCCTTGAGCCCTATATCCAAAACCATCACACTGGGGAGTTAGAGCTTCAACATGAATTTGGGGGGATACAAACATTCATTCCATAACATGTATATTCTATAAATGTTTTCTTTGTGGTTACCATGGAGATTACATTAAACTTCTTAAAGTTAGTAACAATTTATTTTAAACTGATAACAACTAACTTTAATCAAATACATACTTCAATCACAAAACTGTACTCCTTTAAAGATCTTCCCCCTCACTTTATTTATTGATGTCAAAAATTACATCTTTATATATTGTGTACCCATTAACATAGACTTATAGTTATTTTTATGCTTTTTTCCTCTAAATTCTATCTAAGAATTAAAAGTAAAGTTATGCATCAAAATTTCAAGAATACAGGTTTCTAAATTTGTCCATATATTTACCTTAATCAAAAACTTTGTATTATCACATAGCTTCATAAGGCTGTCTAATGTCCTTTCATTTAAACTTGAAAGATTTCCTTTAGCATTTCTGGTAGGATAGGTCTAGTGGTATGAACTCTCTCAACTTTTGTTTATCTAAGAAAGTCTTAATTTCTCCTTCATTTTTGAAGGACAGTTTTGCCGAATATATCATGCTTGGTTGACAGTTTGTTCTTTTGGCACTTTGAGTATATCATCCCACTGTCTTCTGGCCTGCAAGGTTTCTGCTGAGAAATTTGCTGATATAAAGCCTTTCTTGTATGTAACAAGTTGCTTTTTTCTTGCTGCTTTTAAAATTTTCTCTTTGTCTTTTAACAGTTTGGCTATAATATGTTTCATTGTTGGTCTGGTCTCTTTGGGTTTTTTCTAGTTGGAGTTCATTCAGCTTGTTGAATTAATACATTCATTTCTTTTTTTCAAATTTGGGAAGTTTTTGTCATTATTTCTTCAAATAATCTCTCTGCTCCCTTTTCTCTCTTCCTTTTTGGGACTTGCATAATGTGTATCTTAGTCCACTTGATAGTGCCCCAAAATCCTTTATGATCTCTTCACTTTTCTTAATTCTTTTTGCTCCTCAGACTCCATGATTTCAAATGACCTGTGTTCCAGTTTGCTGATTTTTTTCTGCCTGATCAAGTATTCTATTGAACCCCTCTACTGAATTTTTCAATTCAGTGATTGTATTGCTCCACTCCAGAATTTTGTCTTTTTTTAATATTTTTCATATCTTTGTTAATATTTTAGTTTTGTTCATGCATCATTTTCCTGATTTCATTTAGTTTATCTGTGTTCTCTTTCAGTTCATTGAAAACCTTTAAGACAGTAGTTAAAATTCTTTGTCAATTAATTCAAAGACCTGTGGTTTTTTAGGGTTGGTTTCTGGAGCTTTATTTTGTTCCTTTGATTGGGGCATGTTTCCCTGTTTATTTGTGTCCCTTGTCATCTTTTGTTGAGATCTAATTTGAAAGCACAGCCACCTCTCTCAGTCTTTACAAACTGGCTTTGTGCAGGGAAATACCTTGACTAATCAGCCTAGCATAGAGGTTCTGAGATGTCTCAAACCTTCTCTGGGGATGTGTCTTCTCTGGGCTTATGTGTTCTCTTTTATTCCAGTATCTATGGCTGCTTTCAACTATCCTAATTTCCCTAAGAGGCTCTCCTCTGTTTCTTCTCAGGAACTTTTGGTTTTTGTTTCTATTGTATTCCTCTGCCTATAATCTCTTGCTCCTCCATAATTTGGAGAACTTCATACTCCCCGCAGCTCTAATGTGCCATAGCACTTGACTTCAGCAGCCTGCAACCTGGTATCCAACTATGCAGCTGTTCTCATCAGTTTTCTGAGTCAGGCAAGACAGAAAACAGTCATTCAGACAGCTCCCAGACATGCCAGAAAGTTGGATACAAGTTCCATTCCTTTCTTTTCATCCTGGGGGAGAAGCTGGAAATTGAGAAACTTCCTTGTGATTGTGGAACACTGCACCAGAGAGGTGGTGGGGCTAAGGTGAGCAAAATGCCATGACTTTTCCTACCTTTTTTGGTGCAGTTTTTTCTTGGTAAGTAATTCACTTGAGTGATGCAGCTTTTTAACTGGTTTCTAGAGTTCTCTTAAAGGTATTTTGGTCTGTATATTGTTGTTAACTCATTGTCTCCATGGGGGAATGAGGGCCTGGAGCTCCCTAGTCCTCCATCTTGCTGATGTCTTATCCTATGATTAATTTTAACTTAAGTATAAAAAGCATAGGAAAAATAGTAATATAAAGCACATTTGATGCCTAGGATTATTGATGAAATATTGAGACAGTTTCAACATGTACCCATTAAAATTCTTCTGTTTTCATATGAGATCTGGCATTATGGTAATTTGCTTATAACTTTATAAAAATGAGAAGAAATTCTGCTGTACACTTGTTACAAATTTGAAAATTAGGGGTTTCACAATAGATCTGCTTTTCTATTTATTCAACCAAATGCTTCTCTTTATGTAGCTCAGGATGAAGTGCCAGATGAAAATCTTATGCTTGAGCATAAAGACTCAATATCAAAAACAGAAATGAAAGTAAAGAATCGAAGAACATCCAAAGGGGAAAGACACATTAGTAAGTATCATCATTACAGATAACTTTAAATTATTTTAATTAAACTCAGTAGAAGATATTTTTTCTTTGGTTCATGAATATGTATTTCAGGTTATATTTATGAAACATTTATAGTTTCTTTGACCTTAGTCCTAAATACCCTAAGATAGTTAGAGAACAAAAGTCAAAGTGTTCATAATTTACATTGGTATTTCTGGTTGTAATATTATTTCACAGCCATAGGTCATACACTCAGACACCAAGGCCCGGTTATAGGCCAATAATCTTCTTGCAGAGGATGCATATCTTTCAGCAGACTCTGGCAGATTATAGGCCCAAAGCCCCAATAGATGTCTTTGACCTGTGTGGCCTTCTGCCACAAATCTAATTGGTGAACAGAGATGTTGCTGAGAACTGGAACTCAAACAGCAAATGGAGATCAGAGGGGCCTAGAGGAAGGGCAGCCTTGAGAGGCCCGCTTGAGGACCTCAAGTGCATTCTCGTGGCTGTGGCCTCACTGTAAGGAGTGGCTTTTGAGGTAACATAATAGATGGATGCCATCAAGAACCCCACGTGGGGAATATGAGAGTGCAAGCAGCCAAACAGTCCCACCAATAGCTGGGCCTCCTTTTCATTTTTTGAAGCAGAGTGGGCCAAAGCTTGGCAGTCTTCTCTGGAATGAGCTATTATGCCCCTTACAGATCACACCCAGGAATTTCAAGTAGGTACTGACTAACTGTGCCTTGTCTGCAATAATGGTCCAGCCATGTTGCGACATATGGGTCAATAGGATAGGATCTCTAGTTCTCGTTAAATGATGCCCTTGCCTGGGCCCACTTGGATGATATCATCAATAGAGTGGAAGGCTAGTGCTCGCTCAAGGTGCAGGCTGTTTCATTGATGACAGATAGTTGGAGAATTTATGTAGCCTTGTGGAAGGACATTAGTGATGCCTTGCAATCCATTCCACATATTGCAAACTGATCCTTGTCATTCGTGTGGGCGGAGATGATGCGTAGAGTATTGCATCGTCTATTACAGAATACCAAATTCCCTCAATATGGACAGTAGCTTCCATGATTGTCACAATATCAGTTACAACTAGTACCTTAGTACTGCGTCACCAAGCTGCCTGTAGTCACTGAAGTCTCTACACACGCAAAGATTTATGCCCAGGTCCATTGAGTTATTGAATGGAGAAATAGTCTCAGGAAGAATTTTCACTTCATTAAACTCATCAATATGGGCAGTTATTTCTTTTTCTTCCCTAGACAGTTGTTTTTGAGAAACAAGGCACTAGATGCTGGTAGTTGGGTAGTTTCACAGTCTTCCACCTGCCTTGCTAAAGTGGCAATTTCCATCAGGGTTTAGGGGTGAATGCGAGGAGGGGTTCATGTAGACAATATATCTATACCAATAGTATGTTCAGTAGTGGGGGCCGTAACAATGGAGTTTTGAAGTGACCTGAGTGGACACACCATTGTGGGGTGTGGATAAGGTTCCCATTGGTTGTGCTTTGGACCTCAAACCAAAGAGCATTATCAGTTTCCCTCTTATCCTGATGTCTGGGGTTGTGGAGATCACAGTCTTCTATGCACCAGTATCTCAAAGGCCCGGAAATGGAATTCTCCTGCACATCTCCATTGAACTCTGACTTTAGCATAAGTTCTTACATCCCCACTGGGTACATGGGGCCTGGCCTAACCCAAAGTCTTGTTTATTTTTGAGAGCCATACGGTCTTGGTAAAAGTTGGTAGAGCATCCTGATTCATGGCAAGGATCACTGGGAAAAGAAGAGGCATAGAACTTGTATTCATCATAGGACCCATCAACATATGTAGTGGCCTATTGGGCCTCCCTTAGCCCACTGCCTGACCATAAGGTCCTTGGTAAATAGCCAATCAATCTACTCATTTGAGATGCTGTGTTTGGGTAAACATATCCTTTGATCTCTCTTTGCCCAGATAGTCCAGGAGTGGTTACTAGATTACCATTTTTACATCACTCTCTCTTCTGGTCAATTATTGCTATCTTTAAACATGAAGACCAACTTTCTAAGTCTCTAAGTTCTCTTCAGGTCACAGGGCCAAGTGGTCCTCACGGTTCTGGATTCTTTTTCTTTAAATCATGAGTCTCAGTAAATCACTGCATCATAGGCTGAACATCAGTTTCAGAAACATTAGAACTAGCAATAGTCACTGGCGACTCAGCATGCTGGATCTCCAAAAACTTTTGGTTCCATGGCTCATGAGACTATAAGTAGTAGCCAAGGATTGCTTCCCCAGCTTTCTCAAAATCCTTCTGTTGGATGTTTAGTTTGACCCACCCACTGGGTGTGTTGGCCAGCAAAACAGGAACTAAATAGAAGGACCAATGTTTCCTCTGAGAAATTAAAAGATTATGTAGACAATAAAATAATACTCTCCTAAAGCATGCCACAAAGTCTGCTAGCACTTCCTGAGACACATTGGCCTGAATGGTCATGTGCCCTGTGGGACCCTTTGACTCTTGCAAATGACCCAGTAGTACCCCCCTTAGAAAGCCCTGGGGACTCATTAGTGCTCCTTCTAGTAAGGAATTGTGCTTCACTGACCACATTGCTCACTGCACTAACTTTCCAGGGAGAGAGCTACCAGTTTTTGAGTTGGTCAATTAAGATAGTAAGCCAAATTGAAAGTAAAATTAAGTATTTATTCATTTACTGTAAGAGTATAAGCAAGCGTCTAAATAGGAAAGGTCCCCAGCTACGCCAATGTTCCATTTTCTCCCATGGAACAGCTTTGGGTGAGGATCAGATGTGTCAGTGCTGATGGGTGAGGGGAGGGGGAAGATCATCTCACAACCAGAGGAGCCCCCTCAAAAAGGCTTTTGCTGTTATATAGACCTGGAGGTGAGGTGAGGTAGCAGTGGGAGGGCTAGGAGTATAAAAGTACTGAAAACTGAGTCAGAACTGATAAAAATGTCTACAAGGTCCAATGAAGCATGGTCTATGTACAGGCACATGAACAGTACAGTGTCTCAGCTGAATCCTCCCCACATAAGAATGCCTCAGAATTGAGGCACCTGGACTAAGAATGCAGATATTGCCAGCCAAGATGGGCCTTAGTCTATGACTGCAGCTACCTCCAATGTCTGCAGTGCACAGGCTGTGCATCAAGTCTCGTGTGAAGTCTGCAGATTTCCCCACGACAACTGCCAGATAAAACCTTTGTGATTGTCTAAGATTGGGCCTGAAGGATCACACATACCATTTTTGCCATTGTCAATGCCTCAGTGTAAACACATATACATATCCATGTACATGTACATATAATGCATTAGTACTTGCATTAGTGCTTTCTCATTTCCTTCAGTTAGGTTCATTTCTTTAGATTAGTTTCAGTTTTAGTTCCCATTCTTATCTTTTGCGATTTAACTTTTTATTGAGATATAATTGACATATAACATTATATTTGTTCCCAGTGTATGACATAATGATTTGGTATATGTATATATTGTGAAATGATCACCGCAGTAAGTCTAGTTAACATCCATCACCACATATAGTTACAGTTTTTTTCTTGTGCTATGGGCTTTTAAGATCTACTTTCTTAGCAACTTTCAGATATACAATACAGTACTATTAACTATAGTCACCATGCTGAAGATTACATTTCCAGGACTTATTTATTTTATAGCTGGAAATCTGTATGTTTTTTTTACCTTTTAAACACCTTCACCCATTTCTCCCATCCTCGACCCCTTGCGTCTGGCTATCACCCATCTTCTCTCTATCTATGAGTTTGTTTTTTTTTCTTTCTTTCTTTTTTTCTTTAGATTCCACATATAAATGAGCTCAGATGGTATTTGTCTTTCACTGTCTGACTTACTTCACTTAGCATAGTGCCCTCAAAATGCCTTCGTGTTGTCGCTAATGCAGGATTTCCTTCTTTTTTATAGCTGGATAATATTCCATTGTGTATATATACCACATTTTCTTTATTCATTTCTCTGTCGATGAACACTTAGGTTGTTTCCATGTCTTGGCTATCGTAAATAATGCTGCAGTGAACACGGGGGTTCAGATATCTTTTCAAGTTAGTGTCTTTATTTCCTTTGCAAAAATACCCAGAAGTGAAATTGCTGGATCTCGTGGTAGTTCTATTTTTAATTTTTTGAGGAACCTCCATACTATTTTCCTTAGTGGCTGAACAAATTTACATTCCCACCAAGAGTGCACAAGGGTTCCCTATTCTTCACATCCTCACCAATTTCTTGTCTTTTTTATAATAGCCATTCTAACAGGTGTGAGGTGATATGTCATTGCGGTTTTAATTTGCATTTTCTTGATGATTAATGATGTTGAGCACCTTTTCCTGTACCTGTTGGCCATTTGTATGTCTTCTATGAAAAAGTGTCCCTTCAGATCCTCTCCCCATCTCTTAATAGGATTGTTTGTTTTTTTGCTATTGAATTGTATGAGTTCTTTATATGTTTTGAATATTAACCCCTCATCAGATATATGATTTGCAAATATTTTCTCCCATTCTTTAGGTTGCCTTTTCATTTTGCTGATGGTTTCCCTTGCTGTACAGACGCTTTTTAGTTTGATGTAGTCCCACTTGTTTATTTTTGCTTTTGTTGCCTTTGCTTTTGGTGTCAAATCCAAAAAATCAGTGCCAAGACCTATATCAAAGAGCTTACCACCTTTGTTTTCTTCCAGGAGTTTTATGGTTCCTGGTCTTATGTTCAAGTCTTTGATCCATTTTGAGTTTATTTTTGTGTGTGGTATAGCATAGATGTCCAGTTTCATTCTTTTGCATGTGGCTGCTCAGTTTTCCTAGCACCATTTATTAAAGAGACTCTCCCTTCCCCATTGTATATTCTTGACTCCTTTGTTGCAAATCAATTGACTGTATATGTATGGGTTTATTTCTGGGCTCTCTATTCTGTTCCATTGATCTATGTGTCTTTTTTATACCAATACCATATTGTTTTGATTACTATAGCTTTGTAAGGTAATTTGAAATAGGAAATGTGAT